GCTCCAGAGGGGTCTCACTTTATGTAAAACGGCACAGGGATCTCCCTGAGAGAGAACCAGAGAGAAAGGACAAGGGGTCACCCCGGAGCAGGGGCTGACAGAGCCCACGGGTGCAAAGGAAGGAGGGAGGGGCCGGTGCAGCTCCTGCCTTTCTCACAGAACTGAAATAGTCCACATAAATGAAAATCTCTGCTCTCTGGAAGAGGGAAGTGCAGCATTTCGGTCATCCCCCAACAAGGGATCTTCCCTTTCTTTCGTTGGCCACCTTACTCTCTCAAGAAAATACGAAATGTCCTTTTTGCTGGTGCTGGTGCAGAGCGCTGGGGGTGGATGAGGCGGTCTCTGAGTAGAGGGTGCCCCCCCCAAGTGCAGGCATCGGAAATAACGGGGTATCCCCATGAAAGCTGCAGTGAGGAGAAGTCCCAGCACCTTCCTGCTGGGGTCTGCAGCCCGCGAGGTGGCGGGTTCTGGCTGCAGGGGTCGTGCCCGAGCCCAGCACCAGCCCCAGGCCGGGGGGGGCCACTCCTGCTGCAGCCAGGAGATGCCCTGACAAAGAAGGGGGAGAAGGGGACCCCAGGATGTGACTGGAGATGCGAAACCAGAATTCAAGTGTGTCCGAAGAGAAGAAAAGCCTCCATGCATAAATGTAAGCCATTCGCCAGCGCGTAACAGGGAAGGAAAGCTTCCTCTGCCTGTGGAATGTTAAATTCAAAGATGACACTCGCAGCGTGAAATGACACATAAATAGCTGAACTATTTCTGAGCAAACGTTTTCATGGTGGGAATGATACAGTACTGACTCATGTTTATATGTTAAATTCCTAGTATTTTGGGATGAGAAGCAAACGTGGGACTTAATACTAATTATCATTTCCTTTCTAATTAACAGAGGTCCTTCTCCAGGATGTTCCAACGGAGAGCGCAGTTCACCTGCTGGGTTTTGGCTCTCACGTTTGGCGTCCAAGATGCTCCTCAGGCTCATCCTGGCAAAAAGGTAACGCACTCGGCAAACCCAAAGGCTCTCAGGTGCCTGCCGGAGCCACGCAGGCAGGTCCCACACTACCTGCCCCCCTATTTCCAAGCCGCCACCTCCTCACAGAAGCGGAGCGAAGGGGCGTCGCTGTGAAGGGCCACGGCGCCGCTGGGGCACGCTCAGGAGCTGCCGGGCCACAAAGAGGCACCCCAGCAACACGCTGCTTTTAATGCATCCTTAGCTAAGATCACAGTTTTCCCGTAAGGGATGTTATGTTCTCCAGTAACGAGCAACAAATCTTCCACAGCTCAGGAGAAGAAAATTTGAAAGGTTTGCCGGTTTCTTCTGGGTGGGTTTTTCGGTTGGTTTTTTTTTTGATTTGTTGGGGGTTTTTTGAGTCTTTTAACACAAGTACTTGCATTTCTGTAGGATGCCCGTTTATATACTTCCGTTCTGGAAGCTGTAACTTTCTACGGCTGTTCCCTTAGGATCCCCCCGGAGCAACAGATATTTCCCTGGATGGGATAGTTCCTTGTGAAAATTTCAGTAAATAACGCTGGTGTTGAGAGCAGCTGCATTCTGAGCGTTTGCACTTATTTTTAACGTCACTGGAACGTGACCAACCTGTGCTCGGCATTTCAATGAAACCAGGAATACCTACACAGAGAACACAGCATAAAAGCATCGCAGATTCCGACTGATGATTTTTTAATCATGGGCCCTCCTGGTTGAGCAATGAGGCGCATCACTGTTTTCATTTCCAGGAAGCAGTGGGAGGGTTGTATGACCTCACTCATTAATTTCTACAACATCCTTTCAAAAAGTGTCACTCCTCGGCTGCCAAGGACTATGCGCAGCACAGGAAAAGAGTAGCTGTGATGCTGGGAATCCAATTAAAAGAACACAAACCCCTGGAGCTGCAATTTCTCCAATTATTTTGTTGCCATAAAAAAAAAAAAAATCTCACTAGAAATAGGGCGCTTCTCCCAAACTTCTTATTCCTAAAGGACAAGGTACCAATCCCTGGAGAGATGCGGGAAGACTCACTCTACTTTTCTCTCTCCCTCTTGCTCCCCAGCACAAGCTCTGTTTGAGTTTGATCTGCTTCTTTTGCAGGTTAGAGCCTTCCCTCTGCCAAGGCTCCTCTCTGCAGCAGGCTGCCCCACGCAGCTCCCTGTGAAACCTCCCCTCCAGTCAGCTGCTAACTTTTATTTCTAAGAACACGCCGAGGCTGCCTCCCCACCCTCTCCCATCTGGATTGCTGCCTGCCTGCCAGAAGAGTCAGCAGGATTCGGAGCAGAGCCTCCAGAGGGCAAGGTCCTGTTTTTCTGCAGAGCAGGTATTTGACGTCTTTCACTTGGTTTTGAAGTCTCGGGAGAGCAGGAAGGAAGCAGGGAACTGGCAAGTCTGTGCTTATTTTTTCTTGCTTGGCATCGGTACAGATTTTCTGGGGTAAACCAGACGTTGGCTGTTTACATCTCAGCACCAACAACCCCCCCGAGGCAGCGCCGAGGGAGGTGGGCACAGGTCAGATGGATATTCCCTTGTTAACACGGGGCTCCTTCTTCGTGTCACATTCAGTTAGGCCAACGGGGGGTAACGCTGCGGCGTGCTGAGACAGCCCAGCAGAGCTCTGAGGGAGCAGGAGGCAAAGCAGCCCGGGCAGAGGGTCACACTCGCACACCTCGAGGCTCCTGCCACCTCCCCTGCCTTCACGATGCTGGACGTGCTGGCTGTGGGCTGCTCGGGGCTCGCCGGAACGGCAGCGATCCCTGGGCTGACTTCACAGCGGCCTGATACGACCTGGACCATTAAACCTTTGGTCTTTAATCTTTAATCACTGATCTCCAATACAGCAGTGCCCGCTGATTCCTGCCTAAACCCAGCACTGAGCGATGTGAGAATGAAGAGATACTCCCTCATCTTCCTGCTAAAATCCCTCACAGAAGCCCAGGCAATGAGAACAGATTTCCTGTGCTTTAGCAACAAAAGTGGTGTATTTTATCTAAATATTGCTGATGGATTTTGCCGTCAAGCAAATAGCTAATCTCATACATTTTTAAGACTTCTTCAGTGGGAGAGGAGGAATCATTTTGCTGCGTTTTTCACTAGGAGAACACCTGGCCAGAGAACGCTGGCGAAGGGGTTTTATTGATTCCCACTCATCCGTGTGCCCGGGACAGAGGGCGATCGCCTGGCACCTGCAGCATCGATCCGGCGAGGGAGAGGCTGGTATTTCCCTCCTGAAGGGTCCAGATGCCCGGTTTACTGAGTGGGGAGTTCCCTACAGCCAAGTCTCGCTGGTTTTAGCCTTTCTGTCTGCCAGTGGATTCCTGAGTGAAACGCAGAGCCAGGCAGCTAAGGGCAACACGTCGGCTTTGCTAATTCTGGTCCCGGTGCTCTGCCTCTGAACAGTAAGAGAGAGATTTGCAAAGACCCCAAGCTAAAGAGCTCTGAATCCCACAGCGCTGCAATCATCTTCAGCCTATTAATTATTACAGACACATTCAGCTCTTATCAGTCAGCAAACATTAATAATTGATGAATAACCCAAGAAGACTGCGTCACCGCTAACGTCCACAGGCACGCACGCAGGCCAGGATGCCCTGACACACGAGCCATCTGCTTCCCCCGAAGCCCTCGGCAGCGGAGGAGGGTCCAGGCTCCAGAGCAAGACATGGCACGGTCCCGGCTTCTAGAGATGGAGCCTGGGAGTTCATTTACCTTCCTTCCACATGAAAGAAGAGAATTTGTAAAATTTATTAGGCACATCCTTGCCAAATGTCCGCTATTCTAAGCCTCCTGGGAGAAGATTCATCAGCTTCTCATTTTCTCATGATCTTGATAGCAAAAGTGTGTTATAAATAAACGCCAGTAAAATCCACACCGGCTGAACGGCGGCTCTCCTTCGGAACCTGTCATACAAACCCTTGTGCCCAGGGATGCTTGGAACTGTTCCTGGAAAAGGGACCCTCGTACATCCCACCCGCCCCTCCCTCGCTGCAGAGCTTGGGGGGCGCGACACGAAGACGCCCTCTGCCCAGGGGTTGGCTCTGCCTCACACAGAGGGCACGGCCCCCTCCCGCACCGCTCACGACTCCTCCCGACACGGGCGCGGGGCAAGGAACGGGGGAGGCAGAAGCAGCAAAGCTTTCCAGGAACCACAAGGACTCACCAGCCACTCAAACAATGCCAAAACCACCAACCAACCAACCCGGAGGCAGACGAGGAGCTCCTTCCCACCCCAGCTGACCGTAGGTAACAGGAAAGAAAGCACTCACCTCCCTGCTTACTTCTGTCAAGATAGATTGAAACCCTTCGGGCCAGACCTGTGAGAAGACAGGGATTAAGGGGTTGACGCTAAGGGTAAGTTGGTCAGCCAGAGCAAAAATAAAATCTTAAAAAAAAAAAAAGGATTAGAAAAAGCAACTCAAATTAAAGGAAAGAACATAAAAGAGAAGCAGAAGCACCAAGAGCAGCACATGCCTCCATCCCGAGAGCAGGCACTAGTTCAATCACAGCATTCCCTGGGAAGCCATCAACGGTGGCGCCTGTCATGTGTGAAGTGAGTATTCTGGCTGGCTGACAACAGCACAGATTTGACATTTCTTCTTGAACAAGGAGACTATCCTTCGCATGATCTGGTCCCTGTTCTGAAGTAAAACGCATCAGGAAGTGACAGACGGAAATCCGAATAACTCATGGCATCTGTACAAATCAAACCAAGCACAGAACACGAGGCGTCTGCCCTGGCAGGTCCGGGCTCCCCGCAGCCAGCGCCGCTGCCCCGGGCTCCTCTGCCCCACAGGGACCTCAGCAGCACGCGGGAGTGCAAACCATCACGGGGGCTCCCTTCAGACCCTCTCACACGGGAGCTGGGCCTCAGACACTGGCTCCTTTCTGGCCATGGCAAACCCCCCGGCAGCAGGAGAGCGCTGGCACCGGACGGGGACGTGGGAGGCAGCGTGGGGCATCCCTGGAACCTCTCGCCCAGGTGCGCAGGAGGAGGCTGGGCTGAGCCCTGCAGCCTGCAGCAGCTCGAGGCGGGTTCTCTGCCGGGCTGGGGAAGGGACGACGCAGCCATCGGCCGAGCTGGGCAGGGGCGAGCGGAGCAGCCAGCGCCTGCTCGCCGGGAAGCAGCTGCTTACGCTTCCGTGTTTTCCCAAATTCCCGAACTGTACTGCTTTCGGGGGCAAAGCCATTCCGGCCAGGGGACGGTGGCTCGTTTCCCTTTGTCACAGACACAACCCAAAACACGGCAGCTCTGCTCCGCGGCGCGATGGCTCCGTGCTGCTCCGCAAGCCCCCACAGCCCGCAGCCTTCAAAGAGCTCTTCTACAGAAACTGCCAGAATTCCCAAAGCCTCCTGCTGCGAAATCACCGCTTCAGAGCACATCAGGTTTATGCTCTTCCTGTGCTGCTCGACAGAAAATGCTTCGGTTTCCCTCCATCGTTTGAAACACCAGGCTACTAACAACAGGCGTTTTGCCTTTTTCTCGGCCCCTTCCATCTCTCATGCTGGAGATTCCCAGTCGCTGCCTTATGCTACAGCACCTGGTCCCAGTGCTGCTTTCAACACCCTGATTTTGACTGAGAGAGACTTTCCTGGTGCATCCTGACTGCAGATCTAAAGAAGATCAAAATCAAAAAAATCTGACACAGAAAAAAAGAGGGTGCCCACACAGCAGTTCGCCAGTGTTTAAACTGACTCACCTACCCTGAGCCTCAAGTCAACTATTAAGTGCAACGAACCGAGGCCAAGTTTAACACAGTAACTTGGCTGTATCAGCTCATTTCTCCTACCTCGGGCTGCACAGCAGCACCAAGCCCTTTACAGAGCGTAAAAGTTTAAGTTCTGGGCCTCACTCTGCTCTGCTGCCCCCTCTCAGGCAGCCCCTGAGCGTGTTACTGTTGACCTCCCGTTACTCAGACCACCCAGGGATGCTCGTCAAGCTCCTGAACAATGTGTTGAGGTATTGCATATTCCTCTCCTAAGTGGGAAAACTGCCTGGAAAAGTCAGTGTTCTGGTTGCTGTCAAGATGACTATTAAGTTCAGAGATGAGTATGACACCAGGGAAAAGGGTGGGCGAGGACAGAAGGAAATCAATAGTAGGAGCAAACAAACTCCAGTAAAACTCCTGAGCTCTGCAGCTTCAAAGATGTACCTTCAGTTCTGTGAGCCAGTGCTGGACCACAACTATGGTCTTGGCAGCAAAAGGCAACTGTTCCAGAGAGTCTCATTTCCGAGGGGACTCGATCCACATAGCTCTTTTGAAGTGACTACATTTATTTCTCCACAAAGAAGCTTGTCCTCGTCTTCTGAACCTAGTTCTACTGCTTCAAAGGTGAAAGGCAAAGAAAACAGGACCCAGACTTCTTAAAACCGTAAAGGAAAGAAAAGGGCAAAGCCCCATAATCTTGAAGAGAATAGACTTCAAAGTTTCAACGCTGCTGTTTTGGCAAGCGTAACCGCTCAGCTCTTACAGCTAGATCAGCTCCTGCCTCAGCCCTTCACCTATTTTGCAATGTCAAACACTGATGCTCCCAACCCCTCCTGCTGCATTAAAGGCCTGTAGAGAGGAAGGCAGAGTCGGCGCTCGCGCGCCCTGCCAAGGGGCCGCGGGAAGATGGAATTCGCCTCCAGTTCAGGCGCAGCCTCCCCGAACTCGACCGACGAGGCATCCAGAGGCCGAGGCCCGGGGCAGCGCCGGGGAACTCCCCGTTGTCTGGGTGAGGCTGTTACCAGCCCCAAGGGAGGCAGGTCCTGAGCCCAGGGATGGTCGAGGCCAACCCACACCCCTCAGGAAAGCTGCTGCCGGCAAGGAAGAAATGCAGAGCAAGTGACACGACAAAGGGCAACCTGAATGACCGCAGGGCACTGTTCTCTCTGCCTAAGGAGATCCAGCCCTTCCACCACTCGGTGCGTTACCGCCGTTTTCCTCCTGCTTTTACTGACATCTCTGAAAGAGCAGGTTTCGACCGTGGCAATTTTCACAGTAGGCTGCAAACTTCCAGCAGCTTATAATCAGTTTTGTGCACATACCGCAGCGAGGCACAGAGCCTGAAGTTACCTCCAATACAGTTCCTCTTTCATGTAACACCAGAAATGAACCATGAGGTGTTAAGGAAAACATAACAGATATGAGCTCAACAAGGCAGCACTAGGAAAATCCAATGAATAGCTAAAAGAGCTGTGTCAGGCTCCTGTGATGAACCACACCAGCTCAGAAATGAGAACTGTCAGATTTTAAGGTCAGGATGAGTGATGATGGTCATCTCATCTGACCTCCTGCGTAGCACGAGTCAGGGAGCCTCACCCAGCAACTCCTGCATCAATCCCACGAGGGCTGACTGAAGCACGGCACATTCCGAAACACCAGCAGCCTTGATTAAAAATGTTCAAGCGGCAGCGAATCGCCGTTAAGAGCATTAGTACTGCACCCGGCCTCGGGAGGATGAAACATCCACCTCCTTTCATGTCCTAAAACAGACTTCAGGGTTACTCAAACTGGTCTTCTGGCTCCATCCTGTGCGTGGCAGGATGCCAGCGCTCCTTTTTACATCTTTTCCTATCCAATATTTCTAACGCTCAAAGCAGGTCAATGTCTGACTGTGCTGCCCTTCTGCACGCGTCAGATTTAGATCGCGTGTTCTCTTGCCACCTCCTGACCCACAATAAACAGTGAAGAGCAAGTGCCAAAATTCGAGCTGAGGCTAAAGGAGGTCACAGGTGCAACATGCAAAGCTGTGCAAAGGCTGAGCAGCCCGTCAGAAGGAAAGAGGCAATACGGGAGCCACCGTCCCACCCGAAGGGGCGGAACAACCTCCTGCCACGGAGCGGGGCAGCGCCCGGCTCCACCGTTGTTCTACAGTTCTCTGCTTCGGAACAGAGCCAAGGCTCGGGCAAGCTGGCTGCTGTGAAGCTTGGAAAGGACAAGGACTTGGCACCCTGCTGCTCCCCAGCAGGAGGCTGCTCTGGTTGCTCCGTAAGCGTGTGTGTGAGGTCGCTGCGTTGGGCTTTCAGTTTTGTTGGTTTGTTTGTGAGATCTGGAAAAGCAATTCCTCACCAAGGCCTGGCAAAAGGCCATTCCAGAAGGCAGAGACTGTTGAACAAGGATGTCACCGATGGCTGAAGTTGAGAAACCCACTTTACTTTCCCCATCCCTAGAAAAAATCCTACCATCACCAATTAGTTTTACCCCCGCCCCAACAAAACTTAGCGGGAACCCACCTCGTGTGGTTGGCAGCATGTCCGACAGCCCCTGCCAGGCAGTCACCATCTCTGGGTTCTTTTCCAGGTCTGCAAAGTTCTTCCACACTCTGATGGCACCATCGTCTTGGGGGGCACAGAGAAAGAGAACACAAAGCAACATCACTGCTGGTGCAACTCTCGTAATTACTTGTGCACAACAAAGGAAGAAGAGAAGCGGAACTCTAGTCATACAAAGTCCAAAACTGAGAGCGTCACTTGAACTTAATCCCTCTCTAATCTTACATCCATAAAACCTGAAGCATTGTTCTACTGGGAACTGTTCTGGAAGAGCTTTTCTCCTTCCCTCGAGTAACACCTGGCATCAGATGTCGCTCCATTTCTTTGACCCATTCGTTTTCTCGAGGTGTCGTCTCTCTCCTCCTTGCTATTGGTGCCAAGAGCCACAAAAGTACTCTGCTAAATACAAACTACAACCCCACGGAAGGAGCTGAATCAAAGCCCAGCCCATCAGCAGCAAATCTTTCAAGAACACCATGTATTTTTTCAATTTGTTCCCCTTCTGTGAAACTTTTGTGCTGAGAATCAATAAATTGAAAGGAAAATGTTCTGAAGGCCCTCTCGGCTCCTCTTCCACCTCTCTTAATTATATCCAACCTGTACATTTCAGCAAAGTTGGAAAAGCTATTGACAACACTTAGACTGACAGGTTTAGAATGGTTCCTCGGGAGAGAAGCAGATCTTACTCACAGCTTTACAGAGCAGTGAATGGGAAAGAGCTCTTCATGCTCCCTGACGTGACGCTGGGTGAGATACACGGACGAGAGAGAAAGTCGCAACTGTCTGAGGAGTTTAGTGCTTAAAATAAGCCCTGCCTGCTTAAAGCAGCGCAAGTAACAGAATTTGATTCCTTATACTTTGGTTGCAGCACGATTTCCTTTGCAGCTCTGGACAGCAGCTTTTACCCAACTAACATGATGTTGCCCGAGGTACTGCGTAGGAGGAGGTTACCACGAATTTGCAGCGATAGGTGAAGACTCGGGATGATGTAACAAATAAAGCTGCGATTGGAAAGGGTCTCAGCAAGCATCTGACTTGTTCGCCGTTTGACAATGCGGCACCTACTTAAGCAGCGAAGAGATTTCAGTACTGCCAGAAGCAACTTTCAGGTTTGATCCTGGAAATGTCTCCTGAGCTCAGACCGGGCAGGCAAGCCACGGGGATCAGCTCGGGCCAATCCTTAGAGGGGAGAGCAGGAGGCCTGGAACAGCTCCATGGCCTGGAATTCTGTAAAGGCCCCAAATCCTGCCCTCTAAATGAGAAAATACGGGCTTTACCTGTGGCAGTCAGCAGCAAGGAGCAGTCCTGTCCGTTCAGGTACTCCATTGCCGTGATCCTGGTGTACCGAGGGTTCCCGTTGTGGAAATAGTCCAGCTTTTCCCCTTTCTCCCAGTCCCAGAAACTTGGGGAAAAAAAAAGATCAGGTCAGTTGTTGGTTCTCTGCGCAAGCTGTACAGAGATCTACTCATCACAGCAAAACTGAAAATCACACGTGTTGGATACCAATTCAATTCGTTTTTCTCCTTGGGCATCCAGCATCATTTTATTAATAACCTGTGTCACCCTTCTGCGAAAGAAACGGGGCGAAAGCGCCGCTGTAAGCAGCCACTGTCAACCTGCCAGGATTCCCCTGCTCTAACCCAGCCCCTCACAGCCTCACTGAGCTCCGGGGGGCTCTGCCCCGTCCCCCCGCCCCGGGAGGCTGCAGGGGGACCTGCCCCCCGATAACCCACCCGCGGCCGCTTCCCAGCCCCCAGAAACTC